ATATTAAGGACGAACTAGCTGTAAGAACCATACCCACCACCCTGGATGACTTGATTGCTCTTAACATCCAAATCGATGTCCACTACCATGAGCGAGATCTGGAAAGGTCTCGTCCCCGTTGCCCCCAAGTGGGTTCGTTAGCTCCTGTTTTCCAAAAATCCCCTGATCGATCGACCTCTGCAACTGTACCGACATCCGAAAAACCTATGCAGTTAGGCCAAACACGCCTCACTCCAGAAGAGTGATCGCGTCGCCTAAAACTTGGTCTGTGCCTTTACTGTGGGGCTGAGGGTCATGTAATTAAGTCTTGTTCAGTCCGTCCGGGAAACTCTCGGGTCTAGGTCACTCTGAGGGAGGTGATCTAGACCAGAACCTGAACTCCGCCACCTTCCCTCGATTTATTATACCTGTCTCCATCCATTGGGCTCTGAAATTGTATCAGGTTTCGGTTTATATGGACTCTGGGGCAGTCGGAAATTTCATCGAACAATCATTGGCCGCTGAATTGGGCATTCCTCTTGTCCCCTTGATGACACCCCTGTCAGCATCTGCATTTGATGGCTCTACCTTGGCCTTAGGACCTCTACACTTTCGAACTAACTGCATAATTATGCATGTGGGTACTCTTCACCTTGAGGAAATCTCCTTCCTTTTTTTTTTTTTATTTAAATATTTATAAAATTTTTCAGATAAATACATATCACATTTATAATCTCATAAAACCAACCCATAATTTTTATTCAATTCTGTTCTCCTTTTCCCACTCACTCCCCACTTCCCTCCCCCTCTCTTTCCTGATCCTCCCTAAGTTCTCAAGTCCCATCATTCTTGGACTTCCATGGTTGCAGAAACACTCGCCCTATCTTGACTGGAACTCTGGCCAAGTATTGTCATGGGTGTCACAATGCCATCGGACATGTCTCCCTAAAGTGCTTCCACCTCTTTGTGTACCCTTGGCTGAGGTCACCACCTCTCCGATACTCCCTCTGCATTATCAGGCCTTCCAAGACGTCTTTTGTAAGAAAACTGCTGACTGTTTGCCTCCTCACTGTCCCTATGATTGTGCTATTGACATCCAACCTGGGACTTCTCCACCTCGAGGTTAAGTCTACCCTCTCTCCGTTCCTGAGACTCAAGCCATGTCTGAGCACGTCCAGGAGAATCTGCAGAAAGGATTTATCTGTAAGTCCAATTCTCCTGCTGGGGCTGGCTTCTTCTTTGTGGATAAAAAAGATGGTACGCTCCGGCCCTGCGTTGATTATGTCTCAATGCTATCACCGTTAAGAATTGGTACCCTTTACCTCTGGTTTCCAAACTCTTTGACAGACTCTGGGATGCTCAAATTTTCACTAAGCTAGACCTCCGTGGAGCATACAATCTGGTTAGGATTTGTGAGGGTGACGAGTCGAAAACAGCTTTCAATACCAGAGACGGGCATTATGAATATCTTGTAATGCTCTTAAGCTTGTGTAATGCCCCAGCCGTCTTTCAGAACTTTGTTAATGACATTTTTTCTGATCTCCTGTATGTTTGTGTCATTGTCTATCTGGATGACATACTCATTTTTTTCTCCAGATTTAAAAACTCATCATCAGCACGTATGTACTGTTCTTCTACGTCTTCGGGACCACCACCTGTGTGCAAAGTTGGAGAAGTGCCTTTTCGAACAAACCCAGGTTCCTTTTCTAGGGTACATGGTCACAGATAAAGGGCCGCTTATGGATCCTGCCAAACTCCAAGCCATCTCCAACTGGCCTCAGCCCTCTGGTTTGAAAGCCACACAGCGCTTCTTGGGATTCACCAACTTCTATCGCCAGATCATTCCTGACTATTCTTCACTGATGGCCCCAATCACTTCTTTGACCCGGAAGGGTGCCAACGCCAGAACCTGGCCTCCTGAGGCAGTCGTGGCATTCCACAAACTAAAATCCACCTTCCTTTCTGCATCTATTCTCATACGTCCAGACATTTTCCAGACTTTCTTCATGGAGGTAGATGCTTCATCTTTTGGAGTGGGGGCCGTCCTTCTCCAAATGCATGATGGTAAGCTCCATCCTTGTGCCTTCTTCTCTAAGAAGTTTTCAGATGCCAAAAAGAATTACACCATTGGTGATCGGGTACTGCTGGCAATAAAGCTGGCATTGCAAGAATGGCGACATCTGCTGGAGGGATCTCCACTTCGTATCCTGAATTACTGTATACTGATCATAAGAACCTCCAGTATCTCCAGTCGGCCCGGCGTTTGAACTCCAGACAAGCGCGATGGGCTCTCTTCTTTGCCAGATTTAACTTCGACATTACTTTCTGGCCCGGCTCCAAAAATACCTGTGCAGATGCCTTGTCCAGATCATTTGACATTGCTGACTCTGAGTGTCATGTTGATCCAGAGCCTATCATTTCTGCCAATCGTATCCTGGCCACCACTCCTGTTCAGCCTAAATGCATCCCACCTGGAAAGACCTTTGTGGTCCCCGCCCTTTGCTCCAAGCTACTCAAATGGGCACACGACTCCAAACTCTCTGGACATCCTAAGGAGCAATGCACCTGTGCCTTCCTGCAGCATCATTACTGGTGGCCCTCACTGTGGAAAGATGTTGAAGAATATATTTAGGCTTGCTCCATTTGTGTGCAGTCTAAGTCCTCCATGTCTGCCCCAGCAGGTCTCCTCTACCTGTTCCAGATGTGCTAATAAAGTTTCATTTCCATGGACTTTATTTCTGAACTACCCCTTTCATCAGGTTTCAATGTTATCTGGGTGGTTGTGGACAGGTTTTCTAAAATGTGCCACCTAACTCCACTTCCAGGACTACCTTCTGCCGTCACGTTGGCTTCCAACTTCTTTAACAAAATCTTCCGTCTTTACGGTTTGCCCCCACACATTGTTTCTGATAGAGGTGTTCAATTTACAGCTTGCTTCTGGAGGGCTCTGGCCACATCCTTCGGAATTAAGTTGGACTTCTCCTCAGCCTTTCATCCATGGTCTAATGGCCAAACCGAAAGGGTCAACCAGAACGTGGAACATTATATTCGTGCCTTCATTTCGACCCATCAGGATGATAGGGTAGACCTTCTACCCTGGGCAGAGTTTGCCCTTAATAACCATGCCAGTGCCAGTACTGGTGAGTGTCCCTTTTTCACTATGTATGGTCATCATCCTTCTGAGCCATTTCCTGTTCCCATCTCCTCTGCGATGCCCGCGACTGCAGACAAACAACGATCACTCAATTCCATTTGGGCAGAGGTTTCAAAGAATTTACATCTGTGAGGAAAGTACTGCCAATAACCGGCAGCTATCACAGAGCAGATCGGCACTGATCATCAGGGCACTGATGTTCAGTGCCCTGATGATCAGTGTCCTGCAGTGCCACCCAGCATTGCCACCCACCAGTGCCCAGCAGTGCCTCCCAGCAGTGCCCAGCAGTGCCTTCCACCAGAGCCCAGCTGTGCCACCGATCAGTGCCCAGCAGGGCCCCACAGCAGTGGCACCCATCAGAGCTGCCCAGCAGTTGCGCCCATCAGTGCCCATCAGTGCTGCCAGTCAGTGCCATCAGTCAGGGTTGTCAGTCAGTGCCGTCAGTCAGCGCTGCCTATCAGTGCCACCTATGCAGTGACCATCATTGCTGCATATCAGTGCAGCATCATCAGTGCCTCCTCATTAATTCCCACCAGTGCCGCCTCATCAGTGCCACCTCATCATTGCAGCCTATCAGTGCCCATCAGTGCTGCCTATCCGTGCCCATCAGTGCAGCCTCATCAACGCACATCAGTGAAGGAGAAAAATCACCTGTTTGCAAAATGTTATAACCAGACAGAAATGAATTATTGTGGCGCCAAATTATATGTGTTAATATATTAACCCCCTAAAGGGGTGTTTCCAGCTGCCCCTAAAAAGTGAATGCGACACTTGCAAGTGAATTAGTGATGAATAGATAGGCGCTGCGCTCAAATAGGGTAAGTAGCATAAGGTGTATGTATGCACCCTATACTCCCCATATAATAACTAAATGATGAGTTTTGTGGATGAATACCAATAAATAAATATCAACCAATACATATACCAAACATAAATGAATTAAGAAATATAAAGTGACTAGATATTTCCAATTTTATAAAACGTCCTTATGCTTCCACCAAGTGCTGCATGAAATCAAATTGTGACAGTCCTTCTTTGACTGCAAACTTTGTGACATAGAAATCCATGTATTAACATCTCAGTGCAAAAAGCAAACAAATGGATCACTCACCAGACTTATATGACCCCCATTACAGTGGTCATATATCGCATTGTGTGTTATAAATCCCTGGAGGTTCCTCCCCGTATGATCACCAACACCCACACTTCCAGGTTGGATAGCAGAGGGACTGATGTATAGTTTCCAATAAATTCCCCAAACGATAGTTGAAGGGATTCAAATAGATAATCCTGGCTTTCTATGCGATTATACTCATTAAAAAACCCACAACAGTAATAATGATCCAAGTGTAGTATTTAATACGTCACCGGAGCCCGGATATGGCGGTATCATGCTTTCTTCAACGTACGTTTCACCTGGCGGCGGCGTCAGGAAGTGACGTCCGCCATGTCCAGGTTGAATATATATAGGGAGATCCTTGTTTGATTGGGCAAACCATTAATCATATCATGATTGGATGGCTCCAAAAACATGACCACTAAGACTAAATATTAACAGGCTCAACATGCTGCTCCAACAAGTGTTAATTTCGGCTTCATACTCCAGTTTAACAATACATATTAACTTCTTGCCGACCGCGCATAGCCGAATGACGGCTTCACCGCGGCCGGCCAGTTCTGAGTGGACGTCATATGACGTCCTCCCAGAACGCGCACTCCTGCGCGCCCCAGGGGGCGCGCACCCGGCGATCTCCGTGATCGCTGTGTCCTACGGACACAGCTGATCACGTGATGTGGTGAAAGGCCGATCCCACCGGCCTTTTACCACGTGATCAGCGGTGTCCAATGACACGCTGATCACAGGGAAATGCAAGTGCCGGTTCTCGGCTGCACTTTCCTCACGCTGTCAGATCGTGAGGAAAGTATGCCGAGAACCGGCAGTTGTCAGAGCGGGGATCGGCACCGATCATCAGGGCACTGATGATCAGTGCCCTGATGATCGGTGCCCAGCAGTGACACCCGCAAGTTCCGCCCAGCAGTGCGCCCACTAGCCCCGCCCACCCGTTCCCAGCAGTGCCCCCACCTGTGCCCAGCAGTGCCCCCACCTGTGCCCAGCAGTGCACCCACCTGTGCCACTCTGCAATGCCACCTACCTGTGCCCAGAAGTGCCACCTGCATGTGCCCAGCAGTGCCACCCACCTGTGCCCACCCACCTGTGCCCACCAGTGCCACCCACCTGTGCCCACCAGTGCCACCCACCTGTGCCCACCCACCAGTGCTGCCCACCAGTGCCACCCACCAGTGCAGCCCAGCAGTGCTGCCAGTCAGTGCCACCAGTCAGTGCCCAGGGGTTGTGCCAGTCAGTGCCGCCAGTCAGTGCCCAGAAGTGATGCCAGTCAGTGCCGTCTATCAGTACCCATCATCAGTGTCACCTATCAGTGCCGCCTATCAGTGCTGCATATCAGTGCCGCCTATCCGTGACCCCTAATTAGTGCTGTCTATCAGTGCCGCCCTATCCGTGCCACCTCATTAGTACTGCCTATCAGTGCCCTTTAGTGCTGCCTATCAGTGCCGCCCGCCTATCAGTGCCCATCAGTGCCGCCTCATCAACGCAAATCAGTGAAGGAGAAAAAATACCTGTTTGAAAAATTTTATAAAAGAAACAAATAAACTTTTTTTTTTTTTTCAAATTTTTTGCACTTTTTTTAATTTATAGCGCAAAAAGTAAAGCGCCCAGTGGCGATTAAATACCACCAAAAGAAAGCTCTATTTGTGAGAAAAAAAATGATCAAAATTTCATATGGGTACAATGTTGCATGACCGCGCAATTGTCAATCAAAGTGCGGCAGCGCTGAAAGCTGAAAATTGGCCTGGTAAGGAAGGGGGTATAAGTGCCTGGTAGGCAAGTGGTTAAGTTTATAGGTGCAACACTACACCCAAGAGTTAATTAGCTGCTATGAGTACGAAAAAACTAAAAACAACCTGGTATTAAAACAATAATATGTATAGGTAAACATATTAACCCCTTATTATACGGATCAATTCTAAAAGTCTTGTTCACATCTATGTACAGTACTTGATTTAATAGACATAATATTATACATAGATTACATGGATACATAGACCCAGAAGGTCTAAATAGAGATAAAGACCTCAATTGCTTCCTTACCAAAATTTGAAACGGGTCCCTATATACATAGCATTTGGGATAAATGAGTTAATCATTGTTGTTCTAAAACTCATTGGATGGAAACATACCCATATAAAACTACCTTTCTCTGTCAGCCCTTATCCCTATGTGTTTATAACATATAGTGGTGATTTCCAAATTTCTTTGACCCCCACCCAGTGGACTTCCAGATGAGGAACATTTAGTCCATATAGGCATTTATGCCTTATAGCTTACCCCTTATCCTATGTCTATACCTCTGCCCAAATAGCCCATAGATGAGAGGTCACAGAATATATTCTATTCAAAGTAGGAACCAAATTTTCCCCTTTTAACAGTAGGGGTGATTAGAGCTTCTCATTCCCGAATTCCTTTGACTAAATGGGGTGGTCTCTCAATTTGAGGGGCCAACTTCTTGAGTTGATTTAGGCACTAATGTAACTAGTCTATTCCCCCTATCTGATTACATCAAAGTTAATAACCCCCTGGTGCTGGCCATCTGCTATAGGTCATTTCAGTCATTCCATTAAAAATTACTCTGCCCCTTTAACATAAGTCAGGAAATATTGCACTTATGGTTTTAAATTTATGTCTAATTTTTATTTTAAATAAATAGTTTTTTTTTTGTATATTTAGTTACTAATACCTCCCATTATGTAATATTATGCCTATTAAATCAAGTACTATACATAGATTTTAGAATTGATCCATATAACAAGGGGTAATATGTTTACCTATACATATTATTGTTTTAATACCGGGTTGTTTTTATTTTTTTATGTACTCATAGCAGCTAATTAACTCTTTGGTGTAGTATTGCACCTATAAACTTAATTTGTATTGTTAAACTGGAGTTTGAAGCCGAAGTTAACCAACATTTGTTGCAGCTCGCATGTTGAGCCTGTTAATGTTTAGTCTTAGTGGTCATGTTTCCGGAGCCATCCAATGATGATATGATCAATCAATGGTTCACCCAGTCAAACAAGGGATCTCCCTATAAACAGTTGCAAGAAAAAGTATGTGAACCCCTTGGGATTATGTGGAGTTTTGCATGAATTGGGTATAAAATGTGCTCTGAACGCCATCTAAGTCACAACAATAGAAGAAACACAGTCTGCTGAACATAATACTACACACAAACATTAGATGTTGCCATAGTTTTAATTGCAAATAACATGTAAACATTCACAGTGCAGGGAAGAAAAAGTATGTGAGGCAATAGCTTAATGATTTCACCCAGAGCTAATTGGAGCCAGGAGTGAGCCAACCTTGACTCCAATAAGTGTGATGATATTGGATGTGTTGCTGACAGCTGTCCTGCCCTTAAATGGGTTTATTGGTTTCAAGAAGCACTGTCTGATGTGAACCATGCCTCGCAGAAAAGAGCTCTCAGAAGACCTAAGATCAAGAATTGTTGACTTGCATGAAGCTGGAAAGGGTTACAAAAGTATCTCCAAAAGCCTTGATGTTCATGTGTCCACGGTAAGACAGACTGTCTACAAATGGAGAAAGTTTGGCACTGTTGCTACTCTCCTTAGGTGTGGTCGTCCTGTAAAAATGACTGCAAGAGCACAGCGCAGAATGCTGCATGAGGTAAACAAGAATCCCAGAGTGTCAGCTAAAGACCTACAGAAATCTCTGGCACATGCTAACATTTTTGTTGACACATCTACAATAAGGAAAACATTAAACAAGAATGGAGTACATGGAGGGACACCACGGAGGAAGCCATTGCTGTCCAAAAAAGAATATATTGCAGCATGTTTGAAGTTTGCAGAAGAGCACCTGGATGTTCCACAGAACTACTGGCAAAAATATACTGTGGACAGATGAAACCAAGATTGAATTGTTTGGGAAGAACACACAACACTATGTGTGGAGAAAATAAGGCACAGCACACCAACATCAAAACCTCATCCCCCCACTGTAAAACATGGCGGAGGAGCATCATGGTTTGGGGCTGCTTTGCTGCCTCAGGGGCTGGACGGATTGTTGTGTCATTGATGGGAAAATGAATTCCAGAGTTTATCAAGACATTTTGCAGGAAAACGTACGACCATCTGTCCGCCAACTGAAGCTCCGCAGAGGATGGGTGATGCAAACAGGACAATGACCCAAAGCATACAAGTAATTCAACAAAACAATGGCTGCAACAGCACAGAATACGCCTTCTGGAGTGGCCCAGTCAGAGTCCTGACCTCAATCCAATTGAAATGCTGTGGCATGACCTTAAGATAGCGATTCACACCAGACATCCCAAGAATATTGCTACACTGAAACAGTTTTGTGAAGAGGAGTGGTCCAAATTACTCCAGATCATTGTGCAGGTATGATCTGAAACTACAGGAAACATTTGGTTGAGGTTATTGCTGCCAAAGGAGGGTCAACCAGTTATTAAGTCCAAAGGTTCACATACTTTTTCCACCTGCACTGTGAATGTTTCCATGGTATGTGCAATTAAACCATGGCAACATCTAATGTTTGTGTAGTATTATGTTCAGCAGACTGTGTTAGATGACGTTCAGAGCACATTTTATGCCCAATTCATGCAAAACTCCATGTAATCCCAAGGGGTTCACATACACTTTTTCTTGCAACTGTATATTCAGCACCTGGACATGGAAGACGTCACTTCCTGAAGATGCCGACAGGTGAAACGTACGTCGAAGAAAGCGTGCTACCAGTCATGTCTAGTCTCCAGTGATGTCACGTCCAGTCGAGACAGAGCCTTGGAATGCACGTCAGCCATCTTTGATCTAAAATATACAGGCAATACATGCTGGTGCCCTATTGCTTCTTAGGCACCTTATCATGTGAGTGCATTGAGTTTGTTACTATTCCTACTCTTGACATATTAAATACTACACTTAGATCAGCCTTTCTCAACCAGGATGCCCAGGCACCCTGGAGTGCCTTGAGGTTTCTTCAGGAGTGCCTTGGCAAAACTTCTAAAAATTACCCAAAACTTATTTACACATCAATGGGTGGAACAAGCCTTCCTTTTAGTTACACAAAGCCACAGGTTTTCATTGTGAACCATTACGACCTTCTAGCCCCTAGCATCCTGACAACCAATGACATCATCAGTTGATAAGGAGGATTTCAGCTGCCTGCACAGCAACCTTGCGTTGGACCTTCCCCTGCACCTCACCATCAGTGCTGGGGTCACATTAGGTCAGTGAAGGAGAAAAACTGAGGGAGAAGAGAAAACAATTGGAGAGTACTACTCAGTACCAGTGTGCAAAAGAGTATTTGCTTTGGAAGAATAAATTAA